AGAAGAAAAGAAGAAAGAAGAAAAGCGAGAGAGTGTGGAAGGAAAAGAAGAGAAGAGAAGGAAGGAGGTGTGGAAGAAGAGAAGAGAAGGAAGAAGGAGAGTGGAAGAAGAAGAAAGAAGAAGAAGGAGGAGAGGTGGAAGAAGAAGAAGAAGAAGAAGAGGAGGTTGCTGGAAGAAGAGAAAGAGAAGAAAGAAGAAAGGGAGGGTGGAAAGAAGAAAGAAGAAAGAAGAAGAAGGAGAGGTGGAAGAGAGAAAGAAGAAGAAGAAGAAGGAGGAGTGGAAGAAGAGAAGAGAAAAGGAGGAGGTGGAAGGAAGAGAAAGAAGAAGAAGAAGGAGTGAAGAAGAAGAAGAAGAAGAAGGAGGAGGTGAAGAAGAAGAAGAAGAAGAAGCGGCAGGAGGTGGAAAAAAAAGGAAAGAGAAGAAGAAAAGGAGGAGGTGATGAAGAAGAAGAAGAAGAAGGAAGGAGGAAGGTGAAGAAGAAGAAGAGAAGGAAGTGGAAAAGAAGGCAAGAAGAAGAAGAAGAAGAAGGGGAGGTGGAAGAAGAAGAAGGGAAGAAGAAGGAGGAGTGGAAGAAGTGGAAGAAGAAGAAGAAAGAGGAGAAGGATTGGAAGAAAGAAAAGAAGAAAAGAAGATGGTAAAAGAAGAAGAAGGAGGAGGTGCCGAAGAAGAAGGAGAGGAGAAGAAGAAGGAAGAAAAGGACAGAGTGGGAAGAAGGAAGGAAGAAGAAGAAGGAGGAGGGGTGGCAAAAGGAGAAGAAGAAGGAAGGAAGAAGAAAAGAAGAAGGAAGGAGGGTGGAAGAAGAAGAAGAAGAAGAAGGAGGAGTGAAGAAGAAGAAGAAGAAGAAGCGAAGGTGGAAGAAAGAAGAAGGAAGGAGGAGGTGAAAGAAGAAAAGGAAGAAGAAGAAGGAGGAAAGAAGAAAGAAGAAGAAGAAGGAGGAGGTGAGAAAGAAGAAGAAGCAAAAGAAGAAAGAAGAAGGAGGAGGTCTTGGAAAGAAGAAGAAGAAAGAAAAGAAGGAGGAGGGAGGTGGAAGAAGAAGAAAAGAAGAAGAAGAGAAGAAGGAGGAGGTTGTGGAAAGAAGAAGAAGAAAAAGAAGGAAGGAGGAGGAGGTGGAAAGAAGAAAGAAGAAGAAAGAAGAGAGGAGGAGGTGGAGGAGAAGTGGAAAAGAAGAAGAAGAAGAAGAGAGAGGAGATGGTGGAGAAGAGAAGAAGAAGAAGAAGAAGAAGGAGGTTGGAAGGAAGAAGAAGAAGAAGAAGAAGAAGAAGAAGAAGAAGAGAGAGGAGTGGAAAGTGAGGTGGGTGGAAGACAGAGAAGAAGAAGAAGGAAGAAGAAGGAGGTGTGGAAGAAGAAGAAGAAGAAGAAGGAGGAGGTGAAGAAGTAAGAAGAAAGAGAGAAGAAGAAGAAAGGAGGAGTGGAAAGAAGCCAAAGAAGAAGAAGGAGGAGAGAAGAGAGAAGAAGAAGGAGGAGGAGAAGAAGAGAAGAGAAAGAAGAAGAGAAGGGGGAGGTGGGAAAAAAAAAAGAAGAAGAGAGGAAGAAGAATGAAAGGATAGGAAGAAGAAGAAGAAGAAGAAGGAAGGAGGTGGTGGAAGAAGAAGAAGAAGAAGAAGGAGGAGAGTGAAGAAGAAGATAGAAAGAAGAAGGAGGAGTGGAAAAGAAGAAGAAGAAGAAGGAGAGGAGGTGGAAGAAGAAGAAGAAGAAGAAGGAGGAGAAGAAGAAAGAAGGAAGAAGAAGAGGAGGTGGAAGAAGAAAAGAAGAAAAGAAGGAGAGGTGTGGAAAGAAGAAAGAAGAAAAGAAGAAGGAGGAGGTGAAGAAGAAGAAGAAGAGAAAGGAGAAGAAGAAGAAGAAGAAGAAGGAGGAGGTGGAAGAAGAAGAAAGAAGAGAGAAGGAGGAGGTGGAAAGAGAAGAAGAAGAAAAGAAGAAGGAGGAGGAGGAAGAAGAAGAAGAAGAAGAAGAAGGAGGAGGTGGAAAGAAGGAAAGAAGAAGAAGAAGAGGTGAAGAAGAAGAAGAAGAAGGAGAGGTGAAGAAGAAGAGAAGGGAGGAGGTGGAAGAAGAAGAAGAGAAGAAGGAGGAGAAGAAGAAGAAAGAAGGAGGAGGTGGAAAAGAAGAAAGAAGAAGGAGGAGGTGGAAAGAAGAAGAAGAAGAAGAAGGAGGAGTGGAAAAGAAGAAGAAAAGAAGGAGGAGGTGGAAGAAGAAGAAGAAGAAGGA